GGTGGGAATGCAAACTGGTGCAGCTGCTCTGGAAAACTGTGTGGAGGCTCCTCAAAAAATTAAAAATAGACCTATCTATGGCCCAGCAGTAGCACTGCTAGGAATTTACCCAAGGGAAACAGGAGTGCTGATGCATAGGGGCACTTGTATCCCAATGTTTATAGCAGCACTCTCAACAATAGCCCAATTGTGGAAAGAGCCTAAATGTCCATCAACTGATGAATGGATAAAGAAACTGTGGTTTATATACACAATGGAGTACTACGTGGCAATGAGGAAGGAATGAAATATGGCCTTTTGTAGCAACGTGGATGGAACTGGAGAGTGTGATGCTAAGTGAAATAAGCCATACAGAGAAAGACAGATACCATATGTTTTCACTCTTATGTGGATCCTGAGAAACTTAACAGGAACCCACAGGGGAGGGGAAGGAAAAAAAAAAGAGAGTGGGAGAGAGCCAAAGCATAAGAGACTCTTAAAAACTCAGAACAAACTGAGCGTTGATGGGGGGTGGGAGGAAGGGGAGGGTAGGTGATGGGTATTAAAGAGGGCATCTTTTGGGATGAGAACTGGGTGTTGTATGGAAACCAATTTGACAATAAATTTCATATATTAAAAAAATAAAATAAATTAACCAATAAAAAAACATAAATCTCAAGTATCAGTTTAACTTTTTCTTCCTAAATAGCTTATGGAAGTTAAACTGATACTAATTTGTAATAAAAAAGTATAATCTAGAGGAGAGGAGTAGATTGCAGAGCAAACAAGAAAAAAATCTTCCAATAAGGAAGAGGGATTGCTTGCTTCTCCTACTTTGCTTCGCTAAAGAGATGAAGTTACTCCTAATCAACACCTTTGTAAGAAAGTTCACCAGAGCTAGAAGCTTGTAGCCATGCAAGTGGGGCATAAAGAAATGAGTATTGAGGTGCTCTCAAAAAAAAAAAAAAAAAGCTACTTACTAGCCAAGAACTATTCCAGATACTCTTAGACACCATGATTAAAGACAGCTTACTCCATGCTTTGTTTTAGGTAGCTTCTTCCTGACTTAGAATAAAAACTTTCCTTAATTTAATACTATTAAATGCATGTTTTTAAAAAAAAAAAAAAAACAGTTCAATCAGCAAGAGTACAGTAGATTTGGTTTATTCTGTCTTTAATTTGATTGACTGAATGATAGTCCAATTTCATCAATAATTAATAAAGCCACAGTTCCTAAATTAACCATGTTGTGGTACATAGTTTTGTTATTGTCTTAGGTGGTAGTCATAATACCATTGGTTGGTTTCTTTTCTTCCTCATATAGTTCTGGCTTTTTCAACTTCTTCTTTCTACTATATTTACACTTTGTTTTTATTTATGTGATACCATTATCTTAAGTGGTTAATGTCTTTTTCTAAGGTAATGTAATGTTTTTTCTAGTTGTGATTTCACTACAGTAAATCGTTTCATGTTTTGTCCTGGAGGCCTCTTGACCTTCACCTACCAAATACCCTGACTTTAGTTCTTTGGGCTATAACATTGAGTTGCAAATAGTGTGTGATCCATTAAGCTGTTTTCTAGGATTCTGCCTACTGGAAACAATGCTGTTGAGTGATTACTTTTTAGACATGTAGGTGTCTTCTCCACACCCCGCCCTCCCCCCTTTTTTCCAAATTGAATGTTATTTTGTTAATTTCTGTTCCCATTTCCAGATTCTTGGGAAATTTATATCATTTTTCTTACCACATTAAGTGTAGCAACTTCCAATTTGGAATCATTGACCATTGTTTTTGAGAAGTTCATTTCCTATTTCAGGTGAATAATGAAGACAAAGTTTGTTCTCTTCTAACTCCTATAGAACATTGCTTACACTACTCTTATCACCTCCCAGACAGCTTTGTACGTGATAAGTTGTGTTTATTTTCCTTGTGAGATTACAAGTGTCTCTAGGGCAGAGGATATTCACTTTGCATTTCCCACAGATATTAGCATAATGCTTTTCACACAGTAGGAATTTAGTAAATATGTGGGATTTACATTATTACGCCTATTTATAGGAAACTTCACAAATGCGTCTAGAAATATTGCCATTCAGCCTAACACATAGTCTGTGTTTTTTTCTTCTGTCTTTCAGCTGATGTTTACCACATGTACTTATGCAAATTAATTTGATTAACATTGGTTTTATGGTTTGGGATGGGGCATTATGTCTTTTAAAATCCAGGCGCACAATAAGTGTTACATTTGTTCTAATCACAACATGAAATTCAACGGGGAAGGTTTTGTTGGTTTTTTGTTTTTTTTTAAGTTAATTGGGCCTTTCCATCCTGGCATTTAAGATTCTGATTGCTTTTGTTTCATGTATTTAAATGCTTTCCCTTGGCATTTTCTAATTATTACATAAATAACACAGACATACAGGAGCAGTGTTTCAGCCTTCACTCTTATTTTGCCAGGAGTCCAAAGTGATTATGTTAGCATTGAGGGCTTTCTTCATAATTTCTCCTTAGTTTTCTCCTGCTTTCAAATGTAAAACAATTACCCTGTAAAAACACAAAACATTAAAAAGCATTAATAAGTAGATAAAAATTAATTATGATTTATAATTTGGAGACTACCATCATCAATGTTTTAGGAATATATTCTTGCATTTTTAAAGAAAAAATTTTGTTTTATAATTTTCTTTTTTCACTTAAATGCATATATAAAACATTTTCCACCCCTTAAATATTCTATAGTAGCATTTTCAGTATTTTCTTATTGTGATATTTTGATATATCATGATTTTGACAGTCTTTGCTTTGGATATAAAAGACTTTTCCTTATTCATACCCTTATAAATTCCAGTGTATGACCATCAAACATACTTTATGATAAATTAATTTTCAATGAGTAGTCAGCCTTATGTGTATAGAAAGGGACCATGGCTAATACTTGGACTACTATGATGTTTAAATTCCTAAAGTCTGATTGTTTGTTCCTTTACTACTCAGTCATTGCCATTGTTGAGCCTACAATCTGACCCTGCAGTTTCTAGGCACTGAAATTATGGTTCTTTTATGGACCATAACCAGTTAGAGCTGGTTAAAGGACTCCTCTGTGCTGAGGCATTAGTATGGCCAGAAAGGAAGTGAGCAAATCCTTCAATTTATGGTGTGCCATGGAAAATGAAGAGAGTTTTCTTTTAATATTTCATTAGTAATGATAACATAAATACTGGTACTGAGATGATAAAAAATTGAGATGTAACTAAATTGGGAAAATGGGGAAAGGAGAAATAGGTATCATGGTGTAAGAGTGCCATTACAGTTGTGTCTGTTATGATTAGTTTTGGTTGTGTATAAAATGAAAATACAAAAGAAGATAGACTTAAACAGATAGTAGGCTTATTTCCTCTTCAGTAAATGAATTTGGGAGATGGGCTGCCTAGATTGATGTGGAAGTTCTATCAAGCACATGGGGCCCTATACCTTTTGAATCACTGCTTTGTCATGCTAGTGTGTTGCCTTCTTCCTCAAGGACCAAAGTGGCTACTGGAGATTTATTCGTGATAACTGCATTCCAGGAAGCGGGAAAGAGGAAGGAGAGAAAAAAAAATAGTCATACAGAAAAATACTGAATTATGAGTACAGTTCAATACATTATCACAAAGGGAACTCACCCAAGTAGCTACAACCCAGGGTCAAGGAACAGCATATTTCCAGCATCATAGGAATGCTTCCTGCACCCCTTCCCAATCCCCAAATCTTCCTTCTCCTCTCCAAAGATAACCATTATTCTCACTTCTACCATGATTGATTGACTTTTCCTATTTTTGCATTTTTACAAATGAAAATATACAGTATGTATTCTTTTGTGTTTGGATTTTTCTATACAACATTATTTTCTGTGAACTAATCCATGTTTTTGTAAGTAGCTACATTTCATTCAAGAACTTGGAAGATGCCATTTTTGTGTTCTTCTAGCTTCCATTGTTCCTATTGAGAAGTAACCTGTAATTCTTATTGTTGCAATTTTGAAGGTAACCTGCCTTACTTTTTTTCTTTAAATTTCCAGTATAATTAACATATAATGTTATGTTAGTTTCAGGTGTACATTATAGTGATCCAACAACTTTATACATTACTCACTGCTCATCACAATAAGTGTACTCTTAATCCTGTTCATTTATTTCACTCATTCCCCCACACACCTGTCCTCTGGTAACCACCAGTTCTCTATACTTAAGAGTCTGGTTTTTTTTGGTTGTCTCTTTGTTTGTTTGTTTTATTTATTAAATTCTACAGATGAGTGAAATCATATGGTGTTTGCCTTTCTCTGACTGACTTCTTTTATTTAGCATTGTATTATCTAGATCCATCCATTTTGTTGCAAATGGCAAGATTTAATTCTTTTTTTTTATGGCTGATAATATTCCATTGTATGTATATACCACATCTTCTTTTTTTTTAATTTTTTTTTCAACGTTTTTTATTTATTTTTGGGACAGAGAGAAACAGAGCATGAACGGGGGAGGGGCAGAGAGAGAGGGAGACACAGCATCGGAAACAGGCTCCAGGCTCCGAGCCATCAGCCCAGAGCCTGACGCGGGGCTCGAACTCACGGACCGCGAGATCGTGACCTGGCTGAAGTCGGACGCTCAACCGACTGCGCCACCCAGGCGCCCCACCACATCTTCTTTATCCAGTATCATTTATCAATGGACACTTGGGTTGCTTCCATAATTTGGCTATTGTAAATAATGCTGCAGTAAATGCAGGGCTGCATATATCTTTTTGAATTAGTGTTTCCGTATTCTCTGGGTAAACACTCAGTAGTGGAATTACTGGATCATATGGTAATTCTATTTTTAGTTTTTTTGAGGACCATCCATACTGTTTTCCACAGTGGCCGCATCAATTTGCATTCCCACCAATAGCAAGAGTTTCTTTTTCTCCACATCCTCAGCAACACTCGTTGTTTCTTGTGTTTCTGATTTTAGCCATTCTGGCAGGTGTGAAGTGGTATCTCATTATGGTTTTGATTTGCATTTCCCTGATGATGAGTAATGATGAGCATCTTTTCATGTATTCTGGCCATCTGTATGTCTTCTTTGGAGAAATGTTTGTTCGTATCTTCTGCCCATTCTTTAATTGGATTGTTTTTGTTGTTGTTGTTGTTGTTGTTGTTTGTTTTCCTGTTTTTGGTTTTGTGTGTGTGTGTGTGTGTGTGTGTGTGTGTGTGTTTGGTGTTGAGTTGTATAAGTTCTTTATATATTTTGGATGCTAACCCCTTACCAGATACATAATTTGCAAATATCTTCTCTCATTCAATAGGTTGTCTTTTAGTGTTGTTGATAGTTTCGTTTGCTGTACAGAAGCTTTTTATTTTAATGTAGTCCCAATAGTCTATTTTTGCTTTTGTTTCCCCTGCCTCAGAAGACATATCTAGAAAAATATTGCTATGGCCAATGTCAGAGAAATTACTGTTTGTGTTCTCTTCTAGGATTTTTGTGGTTTCAGGTCTCACATTTAATCCATTTTGAGTTTATTTTTGTGTATAGTGTAAAAAAGTGGTCCATTTTCATTCTTTTGCATGTAGCTGACCAATTTTCCCAACACCATTTGTTGAAGAGACTGTCTTTATTCCCATTGCATATTCCTGTCTCCTTTATGAAAGATTAATTGATCATATAACTGTGGGTTTATTTCTGGGCTATTTTTTTTCTATTGATCTGTGTGTCTATTTTTGTGCTAGGACCATACTGTTTAGATTATTACAACTTTGTAGTATATCTTGAAATCTAGGATTGTATACTTCCAGTTGTGTTCTTTGTTTTCAAGATTGCTTTGGCTATTTGGGGCCTTTTGTAATTCTAGTTCTATAAAAAACACTGTTGGTATTTTGATAGGTATTGCATTAAATCTGTAGATTACTTTGGGTACTATGACCATTTTAACAATTTTGTTTCCTCAATTCATGAGTATGGAATATCTTTACATGTGTTTCTGTTATCTTCAATTTCTTTCCTCAGTGTTTTAATAGTTTTCAGCATTCAGGTCTTTCACCTCTCTGGTTAAGTTTATACTATTTTATTATTTTTGTACCAAATGGGATCATTTTCTTGATTTCTCTCTCTGCTTCTTCCTTGTTAGTAGATCGAAATGTAGCAGGTTTCTATATATTGATTGTATATCCTGCAATCTTACTGAATTCATTGATCAGTTCTACTAGACTTTTGGTGGTGTCTTTAGGGCTTTTCTACAAGTAGTATCATGTCATCTGCAAATAGTGAAAGTTTTACCTCTTTCCCTACCAATTTGGATGCCTTTTATTTTTTCTTATCTGACTGCTATGGCTAGGATTTCCTGTACTATATTGAATAAAAAGTAGTGAGAATGGACATTCTTGTCTTATTTCTGATCTTAGGGGAAATTCAAAAATTTCTCAGTTTTTCACCATTGAGTATGATGTTAGCTGTGGGTTTTTCATTTAAGGCTTTTATTATGTTGAAGTGTGTTTCCTCTAAACCTAGTTTGTTGAGGATTTTTTATCATGAATGGATGTTGTACTTTGTCAAATGCTTTTTCTGAAGCTATTAAAATGATACATGTATTTTATCCTTTCTTATTGATGTGATATATCACATTGATTGATTTGTGATGTTTTGAACCACTCTTGCCTCCCAGGAAGGAATCCCACTTGATTGTGGTGAATTATTTTTTAATATACTGTTGGATTCAGTTTGCTAATATTTTGTTGAGGATCTTTGCATGTATGTTCATCAGACATATTGGTGTGTAGTTCCTTTTTTTTTTTCCCCCCTGTAGTGTCTTAATCTGGTTTTGGTATCAGGACAATGCTGGCCTCATAGAATGAATTTGGTAGTTTTCCTTCCTCTTCTATTTTTTGTAATCATTTGAGAAGAATAGGTATTAGCTCTTCCTTCAGTGTTTGGTAGAATTCACTTATAAAGCTGTATGGTTCTGGACTTTTGTTTGTTGGACATTAAAAAAATTTTTTTTAATGTTTATTTATTTTTGAGAGAGACAGAGACAGAGTGTGAATCAGGGAGGGGCAAGAAAGAGGAGGACACATAGAATCCTAAGCAGGCTCCAGGCTCCAAGCTGTCAGCACAGAGCTCCATGTGGGGCTTGACCTCACCAACAGTGAGATCATGACCTGAACCAATGTTCAACTGACTGAGCCACCCAGATGCCTCTGGACATTTTTTGATTACCGATTCAGTTTCATTGCTGGTAATTATCTCTCTTTCTAACCTGAATGATAGCCTTGCTGGATGGAATATTCTTGGTTGCAGGGTTGTGTTTTTTTTTGTTTTTTTTTTTTGTTTTTTTTTTTCTTTCAGCACTTTGAATGTAGCGTTTCTTTCCCTTCTAGCCTCCAAAGTGAAAAATCAGCTTATAACCTTATGGGGCTTTCCTTCTGTGTAACTGTTTTCTATTCTGTTGCTTCTTTTTAAATTCTTTCTCACTACTTTTTGTTATTTTAATTACTATGTGTTTTGGTATGGACCTCCTTGGTTTGATATTCGTGGGGACTCTCTAGGCATTCTGGATTTGGATTTCTGTTTCCTTTCCCAAATTTGGGATGCTTTCAGCTATTATTTTCTGTAGCCTTTCTCTTCTTCTGAGATCCCTGTAAGGCGAATATTATTTCACTTGATAGTTTTGCTGAAAAACCTTTACCTATTTTCATTTGTTATTGCTTTTTCTATCTCTCCTGTTCTGCTTGATTGCTTTCCATTACTCTGTTCTCCAGATCACTGATCTGTTCTGCTTCATCTAGTCTACTATTTATTCTATTTAGTGTGTTTTTTAAAGTGTTTTTATTTATTTTGAGAGAGAGAGGGCATGTGAGCAGGGCAGATGCAGAGAGAGAGAGGGAGAAAGAAAGAATCCCAAGCAGACTGGGCACGCATGGAGCCTGACACAGGACTCATAATCACGAGCCATGAGATCATGACCTGTGCTGAAATCAAGAGTAAGATGCTTAACCAACTGAGCCACCCAGGCACCCCCTATGTAGTGTATTTTTAATTTGTTATTGAGTTCTTTATTGATGGGTTCTTTTTTATGTTTACTCTTTGTTGAGAGTCTCACTGAGGTCCTCCACTCTTTTCTCAAGGCTGTGAGTTTCTTAATGACCATTACTTTAAATTCTCTATCAGGTGTATTATTTATCTCTGCTTCATTTAGCTCTTTTGCTGCAATTTTGTCCTGTTTTTTCATTTGAGACAGACATATTTCTCTATCTCCTCATTCTGTCTAACTCTCTGTGTCTGTTTCTATGTGTTAGGAAAGTCAGCTATACCTCCTGCTTTTGAAAGTAGTGGCCTTGGGGCGCCTGGGTGGCGCAGTCGGTTAAGCGTCCGACTTCAGCCAGGTCACGATCTTGCGGTCCATGAGTTCGAGCCCTGCGTCAGGCTCTGGGCTGATGGCTCAGAGCCTGGAGCCTGTTTCCGATTCTCTGTCTCCCTCTCTCTCTGACCCTCCCCCGTTCATGCTCTGTCTCTCCCTGTCCCAAAAATAAATAATCGTTGAAAAAAAAAAAATTAA